TTAAAGAGTACTTTAGTTTCATATCCAGCGAGAAGGAAGGAGAAGAGAAAATATTATTTAGAGATGAAAGCAAGCAAGATTAGGGCTCTTCCAAACTGGTCAACACTACTTATAACACGCTGCATAAGTTTAAGAGAAGCATGGACAAAAGGGTCTTTTGTTATGTCAAATTGCAGAAACAAAATCACATAAAACACACATTACGATATGAAAAGATTAAAAGATTTTATTTATACAAAATATTAATATTTACATGGGAATCCTTCTAGTTATAAGTTATCAGTTGGAAAGGAAACTCATAACCGAGCTGAGACAGTTGTCGATTCATCATTTCCCCTCTTATCCTGAATATATATACCCTTTTAATCTCAGATTGAAGCTGGGAAACTGAAATTGCCTCTCGGATCGCAAACACTTTCGCCTGAAAGCGCTGCTACTTCATCTTAAAGTGTAGAATCCATAGCGTGTAGCGCGACGACTTTCTCCTCTAGCCTTTTCATCCGCTCTCTTTAAAGATGAGCGTGATCAGCTTCCCGAGACAGTGTGCTCCTGCCTCATGAAGCTAATTCTCAGCCAAGTCAGGTGACTGGAACACGTCCACCACCTCAGTTGAATCAACCATCGAATTGGTGATAGTGTCACGGTGTCGTCCTCCTGAATGCATGGAACCTTCGGTAGATCCCAAATCTAAAACATCCTTGGCAGCACTGTATTCAATGGGAGGGGGAGTGTTAGTCTCCACCATAAGAAAGACCTAATATCTAATTCAAATCGGAGGTGGTAAAAAACTGACCCCAATTTCTCATTCCATTGACAGGAGGGAGGCATCAACCTTTGGGGCATCCATCGGCTGAGGGTCATCGACCACATCTTGAATAGATATCGTCCGTTCCACTGGGAATGCTACTTCAGCTACAGGCTTCGACCTTTATTCTTTCAGTAACACAGGAAAATCCCGTGCATAAGTTGATCACTCTTCCTACCTACCCTTAGAATGGTTTACCACTGTTGTATGACATTTCTTCACAGTAAAACCACCCTCTCTTGCTTCGGACCTCTCCGTAGGGCAATCAAAAAGTGAGTCAGATGATCCAACTACATCTATAATGTCAGAAGGTCTCACTTCCACTACAGAAGGCTTCTCGGGATGCACACTCTAAGATGAAACTTCCAATCGTAGCTTCATGGCCTTGACAACTTTCTTTCGGACATCATCACCGAACTCAGCTGATTTGGAGGGGGAATTGCTGTCCATGATCACTGAAAATAGACGAAGGAAGACAACTCACACCAAGAAAGGCCAAGAAGAGATAAGTTTTTCTTCTCATTATTTTTTATTTATTGAGATCTTTACACATAATCCTAGGATTTTTTAATTATTGTGCTTTTAATAGTCATGAATACCATTTTTTTTTAAATTAAGATTCTTTTGTCCTATTTGAAGCTCTCACTATCAAAGAGAAAGAGAATCAGAGAATTTAAATATGTACACAAAAAATATGTTAGCACAAATCTTAAAAAAATTTGGTAGCCAACAGAAGATATAATGTGATATCTTGGGATCCACTAGGGACTAACCAAAATCCCAATCTTGGCCAGCCAGCTCCTTAGGTCGAAAGGAAGAAAATATTTAGATAGAGAGAATTTGACTCTTCTCCTAAAAGTCCACTAGCAAGACTAGGGCGAACGAGTCTGGCAGCTTTTTATCTAATCGGCCGGATAACAAGCTAAATTGTCTAGGTCCGAAGTACTCAGCCAGAGTTGCCCGACCCGTCCTTTCAAGCATAAGCCCCCATATGATAGACTAATCGAAAGTTTCTCCGGGTTCCCAGCAATTGGCCGCCCGGCTCAAAAAAGATCGGGTGGAGGCGATCATAGGCTCCCAACTCTATCCAACCAGAGACCTTCTTGGGGTCCCGTCCCCATCCGGCTGGGCGCCTTTCCTGGCACCCCGCCTTATATTTATGTACTGATCAAAATACTCCCGTTATATCTATTTATTAGAGGGGTACAAAATGTAATTGCACACCCCCATCTCTATTTAATAGGGGGCTCATTACTTGACTAAAAGTTATACGATTTTACAGTTCTATTTTATGTGCTTCCCTCTCTCTCCCTTTCCTGCTCTATACCATAGACGTGTCTTCCAGACAATTTTCGATTCAACAACATTAAAATTATATATAAATTTAGACTTGACTTACAATATTACCACCAACAAATTTCATGCCAACAACTATCAAACATAAGAATTCCAACATCCTTTAATTGTTCCAAGAAAAAAATTGAAATAAATGAGGAACGGTGATAATTGTTTAAATAAAGTAATTAAGCTACCGTGTTGTAACGAGACTTCTATTTGTTGCGGTGAAAAATAAGATAAATGTTGTTTAGATGGCCGTAAAGCCCGGTTTAGTGTCAATGATGCGGAGCCACGTCATCTACTTAATGGAACATCGTGTGATTAATTAAATCATGCGTTGCAAGGAAAGCGTAGTACTTGGTGATGCCTGATGGCCCACAACTAGCTTTCACAAAAAATTCTTTGGATTATTTTATTCCAATATTTTAGTTAGTCCGTGGAAGATTACGCCCATGGAATTAATCAAATGATTATGCTACTAGAAGAGATCAAGTCAGATTGTAGCTCTGTAAAATACATTTTGGATGTAAATAATTTTTTTTTATTTTATAATTATTTATAAAATTATCATTAAATAATCACGAGGTAGAGCATAATTAATATTATGATAATATATATTTGGAGTCTTATTATTCAAATGAAAAAAAAATATATATATATATTTTCTCTCTTTAAGATTGTGTAGGTTAATTGACTATTTACATATCGCGAAGAAAATCAATGTGCAAATTGAGCAGCTAAGCGTGGATTGGAGAAACAAGACTTCATATTCTCGGTTCGAGTAGCTTTCTATTCTTATTCATCGAGATTATTTAGAAACTCCTTTATGTGATAATTTTTTTTAGATTTTTTTGCGTGAGTTTTTTTGTGAAACTGTCAGTCACAAATCATGTAACATTTTCTTTATTAGAATAAAATTTTCTACAGGATTCTTTGAAAAAAAAAATTATTATGATAATATATATAATTTCCTTTATGTGATAACAAAAAAGCGAGGTAATATTACTCATCAAGACATGCGAAAGAATAAAAAATGTAACCATAAAAATACCTAATTTAGAGAAACCTTAATTAGTCAACATGGAGCAAAAAAAAAACAGCATTTTTTACTGTTTCAAATCATAATTATTTAGAAAACTGATTCTTTTCTATTTTCATATATTAAATTTTCATCAAAATATTAAATTCAACAGTTTTTTTAAATTTTTTTTTAAATTTTCCCAAATAATTAATTGTGGCATGCACAAATACATGATTAAATTTATTTATAATTTTATCAATAGAATAAATCTCAATTAATATGCTTTAAATCCTTTTTATTTTATTTATTGTATATATGTGGATGCAGATAGCTTTATGCTGACATAATTCAGGGCCTATAGACTCTAAATGTGTCGAGTTTAATATGATCCTAAGGATATTCTTTTTTTTAATTATTTAAATAAATTTGTATTCAAATAATGTGAAATAAAATATTTTTGGTTGGGAGAATTTGTAATATAGTTTAATTTTGCAGAGATTTTAGAATATTATGTGATTGACACGAAAAATTAAAAATTTAATTAAACAATGAATGAATTTGTAGTTTAGACATTTGTTTTTTTTGATTAAATTTAGAATACGACAAAATTTGAGATATATACTATTCATAAATGAATTTCAAGCTTGCCCGACCTTTAGTGACTCTTGATAAACTCTGAAAATTTGACAATCCTCGATAGAGTATATTTGAAAAAATTTTTTAAGCAAGTATCATTTTTGACGATTTTCATAAAAATGAGAAGAGTCTTTGATAATCTTTCGATTTGTTATAAATTGCTTCACAAGGAGTTTGAGAAGTTTATTGAAACTATGAATAGCTCCTCTTGGGAGTGAAGAGAACCAAACAGGTGCTTGGCGTTTAAAAGTGATAGGAAGCTTGACAGAAGAGTCTATTATTGACTCATTGTATATGCATTGCCATTCTATAATGTTAACGTGCTCATAAGAGTCAAAGCTTTGAAGCTTGAATCCTCCTGAAACGAAGACTTAGAGGACCATACCAGCTAAAGGTGAAGATTCCTGAAAACTATAAGGAGTAAGAAAGTAAATTTTATCTCTTAAAAAGAGTTCTTCTTCAACCATATGTTGCAGCTCATCGTGGATTACATGTCGTGATATATTGAGCTAAGTTTTCCAAAAGTATTGGAGGGTTGCTATTTGATTTAGCTGCACGAGATGAATGCATGAAATTAGTAATATCCATGAAATCCACTTCCTGCATAGTTGAGGAAGTACTTTAGTGTGAGAAGGGGTTGTTGATGGAGCATCCTCTATCTAGGGAACTCTGAGTGATGATTGTTCCTAGGGTAAATGAACCCCACCACTTTATGTCTATCTCCATATATGGACCTGAAGGGAAATTAAATACGTGAGTATTAGGTGAAGATTTTTTTTTTTATTTTTCTTTTTTAAATACTAGCTGGGTTAAAAATTAATTGAATGATTTGCTTTTTTTTTCTTTTGCCTTGCTACAACTTTGTGAAGCAAAAACCCTCTTAGCATGATAAAATTATTAAATTTTCTATCAATTATCTATTTTATTTAAATTCATATTACTTATGATAAAAATATTATACTATAATTATTTGAATTTCATAATATATCTTTGTTGGCCATCTTTTCATGCAAGATATATACTTTAATCGCTAACAACAAGCATATAGTGCACTGCATTTTTACTAAATTTTTAAGTCAATTTAAATTTATTACAAAGAGAAGTCTCATGTTTAAGACAACACAATTTCGCTAACCCTCCAATTAAGAGAACAATTTCATAAAACACCACACTTAATTACATGTCTCCCAATCCAAATAAAAAACAGTGGATAAATTAAGAGAATTAATGGAAACATGGCTAAAATTTCCACATCCATCTTTCCTCCCCCCATATTCATTATAACTTTAGCACAAATACAAATCTAAGCCCTTCTATATTCTTAGTATTTTCTACAATTCATTTTGTCATTTTTATCCCCAGCCCACACGTGTCAAATTTGGCAAACTTTGCAAAATTTTCCCACTTATTGTTGTAAATACCAAACATCCTCCATGCTCCACAAATTCTCCCCTATCTCCCCTCCCAAACCCCAATACTGCTCCAATTCCGGTAACCCCTGGTAGGCATACCCAGGGCTAGACATAACCGCCTCCGGCCACAAACCGCCGCTTATCTGCTGCGGTAGCTGAATTCCTTCACCGGCGGCCGGAACCTTCTCCGCCACCTCGTATCCGGCGGCACCGCTACTGGAGACGGTGGTTGCCGGGCTCTCTGGTCCGGGCTTGACGATTTCCCCAAGCCCACCCCATCCGGCTCCAACAACGAAGGGGAGCTCACCGCCGGCGAGGTTCCCGTACTCCGCCACCGATTCCACGACGGTTGAGTTGGCGGAAGCTGCACGGATCCGTTCAATGAGGCGGGGCATCCATAGATAGCGCATGACGTCCTTGAACTGCTTACTGTCAACGTCGCACTGAAGGTGCTTGGCATGTTTTTGCACTCTGGTCCTCCAATAATTCTTTATTTCGTTATCTGTCCTTCCCGGGAGGTGCTGCGCAATTTTGGACCAGCTGAGAAGTAAACAAGTTGTTCAGAGGGTGGGGTTTATGTAAAAAAATTGATGTTTTTTTTTTTGGTTTTGGAGTTACCGGTTTCCCCAACGAGAGTGGAGCTCGAGGATGAGGAGTTGTTCCTCAGGGGTGATGTTACCTCGCCGGACGTCCGGCCGGAGATAGTTCAGCCACCGAAGTCGGCAGCTTTTTCCGGTTCTCTTGAGCCCTGTTTCACATCATTAAAGAAGAGAATTAGTAAGGAAAATAGAGAGTTTTAAATAAAGATTTTAACTTTATGATTTTGTTTGTGAGAATCTATAATGGTAGTGATCAAGATAGGATTTTGATGGAAGATTAATCAAGGAATGGGATTATTAAGGTAAGGAAGTTAAGATTTTGTTTGATGGGATTGGAGCATGGTTTACCTGCGCAGCGAGCAAGTGAGTTCCAGCGACCTTCTCCATGGCTGGATATATAGTTCATTAGAACAACGTCTTCCTCTAGCGTCCATGGACCTCTCCTTAACTCCATATCCTCCTCGTTAAGAGGAGTTGCAGAGCTACAAGTTGTTCCATGGACTTCCATCTCCATAACTGTCGAACACAGAGCGACAGAGAGAGAGATGTAGAAGAAACAGAGGGATGCTTGAAGTGGAAAGAGACGCAGGAGTGAGGGTTTGTGAGAATTGGATTGGGATGGAATTGGCTTGATTTGGTGAAAAAGGAAAGAGAGGGGCATTATATAGAGGTAAAGTGTCATGTGGGGAAAAACTTAGAGGCTGTAATTAATTATAAATATTTGATCATTCATATTTTTTAATTAAGAGGAGATCCTTTATATGACAGAAAGTGGACTAGTTTGAATTTGTGAGCCAAGCGACTGACTTGGGAGGATGGCATTGAATTGTGACTTTTCTACCACTCATTCTTTCTTGTTTCAGTTGTTTCTTTTTTCCCCAGCTTGGTTTCGCTCTAGGCTCTTTTTCTCTCGTGATAATTACATCTAATGAAAATATAATTTTTAGTGCGAGTGAGTTAAGATGATTTCATAATTTTCTTAGAAGTATTTATTAAAGAAATTCCTCGTACGATTTTTTGTTAATGGATGTAAAAAATAGCTTTGTGCTTTACATCTTATTTTAGGAATTTTTTACATTTGATGCTACATGAGTTCTGAATTAGAACCTTTTAAGATTTCTCTTAAATATTTGCCTTTAATGTCTTTCGATATGAGCAATGAGGCCATGCATTTGCCATCTAATTTGGTCATTTGATATTGGAGGTGATCATTTTGAGAGGCTGGACATATTCTGAGGATTAAAGTATCATTCATTCTCATTATATGGGACATTGAGACTAGGTCTATGTAGAGATGATGGGAGATCTACGAGGCTCTTTCAAGCTTATGAGCCACAGTTGTTGACTCAACCAAAGTCAGATTCATGCTGAGTCAAAATTTAATTGTCTTATTATTACAATATAATTTTATGATATATTGTGGAGCCAGATATTTTACAAATGAATAAAGCATGCTATATAGATCTTGAACCCTTCTTAGGACATAGAGTCATGTATCGTTTGTGAGTACATATAGTCCGTTGAAAGATATAACATGTAAAAGTGATGTCATAGAGAGAGGGAGAGGTGAAAGAAAATCTTGATAGGGAACCTTAGCCAGTCTATTGAGCTGTTAGTTCCGATCATCCTGAGAAGTGTGTTTTATTAGAGGCTCCTTGAGTTACAAGATTTTAGAGAGAAAAAAGAAAGAGATTGAGTAGGGGAGATCGAAAGTGACCTTTTATTCTCCTCTCTGATGAGGACTGAGCTGATTGCTTTTTTACGGACACCCAAATAGTTGTATAGTTCTTTGCTAGGGATGGGGTTGTGTAGTAGACAAAGTGATGACAGTAAGCTCTTGAGCTGTGCAAAATGATTGGTACTTTTGATGTTCTTGAAGAACAATGAGCAGTGATCCTTTGATTATGAGATAAATCTACTGAGGCTTGCTATTCATGTCGTTAAGACTTGCATTCCCTTAGGTGTTTTGGCAACGACATGCTAGTATGGCCCGTACCTTTTTCAAATTTGGTTTGATCCCTTTGCGAGTAAGTAGGTAACCAAGAAACTTGCTAGAGGTAGCTCTGAAGGTGATTTTCAGAGGGTTGAGCTTAAGCTTGAACTTTCTCAAAGTGTCAAAAGTATGTCCAAGGTCTAGTATTTGTTGTTGTGGTGTTTTGCTTTTTACTAACATGTCATTGATGTAGACTTAAATGTTCTCACCTTTTATATTAGCGAAAAGGATGTTTATCAACCTTGATTGGTTGGTTCTGCATTCTTCAATCTGAATGGCATTACGATGTATCAGAAAACATGATGATTCGATGATAGCCAGAGAAGACATCCATAAAGCTCATGACTAGTTATCCCATGATAGAGTTGACTAGTGCATTGATTTAGGCAAGAGGATGATTATTCTTAGGTCAGGCTATGTTTAGGTTGGTAAGAAATCCACACACATTTTTAATTTACCATTCATTTTCTTTACCAACATCACTTTAGCCATCCATTATGGGTACCTAATTTCTCTTATGAACCCAATATCCAGCTGCTTTTGAACTTGCTTCTTTTGAACTTTTTGACATATGGGTTTAGTCAATTTCTTGGCTGTGGGGCGCATCATTTGCTTCAGCGGCCTAGATCTCGTTGTGATGTTTAGGCGATGACATGTGATATCAATATTGACTCCAAGCATTTCAATAGAGCTCTAGGCAAATACATCGTTGTTATTTCTGAAGACATGGATGAGATGGTCCTGATGCACTTTGAGAAAGCCCATACTGACTAGGAAAATTCTTCCAGATTCATCCGCACAAACAGGCACGAGTTAGGGGTCTTCGTAGCCACGAGACCACTAACCTTATTATGAGCAACTAAGAAAAGGTCTTCTTGTATCTTTTCTACATTCTATAGGTAGCAAGGTGTGTGATTGAATTAAGTTCCCTCAAATTGCGATGATTCATTAGTTGATGGGAAACTTAACTGCCACATGATAATTGGAAATCACTACTCTGTAGATATTCAACAACGGTCTGCCAAAGATGGCATTTTACATGTTTGGTGCTTCAACCATGATGAATATCAGGCATCACTATGAACTGATGTTCTCCTTCTCACCAAGTAACTGAGAGAGCAAAGACTTCACAGACTTTTTTTTTGCTCTACCGAGAATTCATATAATGGTCTAAAACTAAGGCCTAACAAATTGGAAACAATTCTAATCTGCTCAAAGATTCCCTTGAGCAGGATTTTCTCATAGTTTCCAGTGTCTGTCAGGATGATTTGATAGTCCTCAATGATTGCAATAACAACGATAGCTCTATCAAAGGACTAGCAAGAAGATCATCATTTGAACATATTCGAAAGACAAGAAAGTGGGGTGTGGAGCATTTCGTTATAGTGGCTAAATTGATTTCTCCCTCAAAGTTGGTAGATATAACCCAAATGACTTGGGTGTGGAGCGTTTCACCATAGTGACCAAATTGATTTCTCTCCCACAAATGGCAGATATAACCCAAATGACTTGGACTACTCTCATTGCACCATAGTATGGTTTCTTCAGTTTGTGCTTTTTCGTGCTTCTAAGTGTGGGCTTCAGGGGCCACAAAATTCTTCAATTTCTTAGCCTTGATCAATTCTTCGATGACATTCTCCAACATCATGCCTATGAATTCAGTGATATGCAGCATATCAGTTAGGATCATATGTGTGGCACCGACCTTTAGGAAATGTTATTTCTAAAATATTCTTTGTTCTATATGGTAGCTACTAATTCACTGATCGGACAGAGGTTTGATTTTGATAGGATTGGGGAGGGGGGGGGGGGCCCAAGGAGTTTTTAACGACATATTCTTACTAGCTTCTACAAGCTGAGCATGTATCAAAATAGTCCTTCATGTAAAACTTTGGTTAGAGCTACAACAACAAACTCTAAGTTTCAAATATCCAACATTTCTTATTTAAAATGAGTAATGAAGCTCCACAAGGTTTTGGTGAGCACCTGATGTATCTTTAGGAGCACTTGTGAGCCTTTTAGTGGCTTATACGCATTGGTGAACTATGCCACAAACATCATATAGAAAGACATGATAACCCACTTTGACAAATGATTTAATCAGAGTAGGGTTAATCCCCTTAACATCTTAAAAAATAAATGATATTTCAATGCATCATTTATCTTGAACAAGAAGACGAACAAGCTAAAAGACAGTAAGTGATCTATGGTGTTAGATTTTCCTTTGGAAGTCTCCAACAATGTGATCTTGAACTTCCTTGGCATCTCGACTTCCAAGATTTCCCTTGAGAAGGGAGCTTCCATAGTTGTTCTCATATTCCTCTCATTTCTTCTTCATCATAATAGTCGGGAGAAAGCCTTTATCTGTTCTTTGTCCTTCCAAGACTTCTTCAACATGATAATCAGAGATTAGTCTTTCTCTTCTTCTAATGACTTCTTCCAGGGAATCCATATTAAACCCTTCCTCATATGAATGATCTAATTCATTTATGGGTAATATCACTTGTTCTAAGTTTAAGCCAAGAGTCCTCCTTACTCTAACTCATGGTCAGTCATGAACGCATGGGTCTCACCTAGGACATCTCTGCCTTGGCGCCTCCAGCTTTGGTGCTCTTAGCTGTGTGTTGACCTCACTTTTGGTTGAGGTTTAGTTTTCCCTCTTTAATAGTCTAGGGTCTAGCCACAAGACTTTCCCGTTGAATATTTCTAGAGGACTAGAAAATGAACCCTCACCATTATAAATTTTAAACTCTTCTCTGCTCAACTTGAAGTTTCACATATTGGTCCTAACCTCTAGAACTTATTAGGTGGGGTCAATATGGAGGAGCTCAAGGTGAGTCCCCAAAGGACTGTTTGGCCTTAAGGTTGACTCTGGGTATTGTTCTGGAGCTGGTTCATTCATTTGCACTCACTTTCACTCACATTCACTCACATTCACTCACAACCCAAAACTCAAAACTATGTTGACTTTGATCCCTTAATCCTTTAGGAGACTCATGTAGATAGTCCCCTAGACCCACTAGCCCTAGGCTGGGGTTTAGCAAGTACCAGTACATAGAGGACCCAAATGGGGATTCCATTGGTCCATGGCTCACATAAAGTGGTTGACACCCAATTTTACCAAAATATCCAACTTAGTCTTTTTGCCTCCCAAACCTACCCAAATTACCAACCCCCAAACCCTAAATTTGGCGAAATTCACAATTTCACCCAAAATACCCAAATTTGTTCGAAAGTCATTTCAAATCACTTCAAACTACCCTAATTGCTCAAAACCACCCAAAATTTTTAAAATTACCAAAATAACCCTCATTTGGCCAAAATTACAAAATACCTTTGATGACCCAAACTTTCTCAAAATGTCCAAAACCATTTCAAATGTTTCCAAAACTAATTTAAACTCTACTATTGAGCCCAATTTGATCAATTTGACCAATTTTGACCAAAAGCCCTAAAGTGCCCCTAAAGACCCAATTTTCCCAAATTCACCCTAAAAGTACATCAATTTGAACACAATATCCCCTAATTTCAATTCTAAACTCAAATTCATCATGTCTATGATCATTTAGAACCAAATTCACGCTTAATTGTCCCACATTTTGAGCTCAATTTTGATTCAAACCAAA